TAACAAGGAGAACCATTTTTCTTCTAATTCCCCGTATAAACTAAGAAATATGTTGTTCCTTTTGATCCTTTTGCAAATGCTTAGAATTTGATTTTTACATACACGGACCTGCAGTAATCCTAATGGTTTCTTATTTAATTGGATTTTAGAATCTTTGGACTATAGTGTTTTGTGAAGAGATGGGAACATACTACCTGTGGTGTCCATCCCCTTATGAGATTGTGTTGTGTTCTGGCCCACTAGTAGGTGTAGTTATCCAGAACAATGTTCTTTGACAGTCTCACCCCTAGGGAAAATGTTTTGGTTTTGGGAATGTGGGTTGGAAAAGGGGAAAGTGGAATGAAAATAAATACATTAAGTTCCACCACCGCCGGAATCAGGATTATCTTCTCGTTTGCTACATTTTCAAGACTATATCACTCACTTCACACCAGAGAAACATAACACTTGGAACCTGTCATTCTTCTGTCATAGGATTAACTTTTCTTCTTCTCGATAAACATCTCTGGAATGGAAGGGGAGATTTTTTTCCTCCCCTGCCCTATATCATCAGGTCTCATAATGGGCAGAAAATGTTAGATTTCACAGGTATTCAATTTTCAGATTACGTGATCTTGATGAATACTAGATGAAAAGGAACTGGAATTTTAGGTGCAGTTCAAAAGAGAGAATGCTGATCAGCTTTCTCATTTTTATGAGAGAGGAAGAGATGATCCCATCTGGGTTTTTTATTTTTGTGTGGCAGTATGTGTGTTTTATTTTTCTTTCAGGTTTTAACGTTCCATAGAGAACTCACTGGACATTTTCTGCCTGGTGGCACGGAAAGGTTTTAAAATCTAAATAATGTTGGGAATATTTAAGAGCATGCTTATTTGGCAAAGGAGGGAGCTCTGTGAATGATCAAAACAGGACCTGGCAACCATTTCTCTGGCATAGACTTTTGCTGCTTGGATGAACCAAGGCTGATCAAATCACTGCATCCAGCAATTGCTGGTTAATTTGTTTTTTGGTACTATACTCTGGATGGTGTCTACGAAAAGTGCATTCAAAGGGGTACAGCAAGTAGAGAATTAGTAAAATTTAGGACATGTCACCAAATGACTTATAATTAGAGGCTTGTATGCTTGCAAAGCAGAAAATGCCTTTCTGGCTCATGCTAGATCTATCGTTAAGTCTTGCTGCCTCTTGAACTCATTATCTTGCCCTCCATTCTCCTATCCCAGATCCACATCATACATGTCTGCATGGCTCAGGGATGCTCTGGCTTTTTCCCTGTCCCCAGTATCATCCTACTTTAATCCAATTCGTACTCTCAGACCTACCACATTGATGGAATGTTGCATAAATAATACTTTGTCATGCATAGGTTAATTTCATCTGTAAAAATCATCTTCAGCTCCCTCTTGCTTTGTGTTTCAAGTGTAAAGACTTCAGCCTACTGACAGCTGAGGTTTCTACCTTCTGTCCATGGCCATCCTTGGCTGCTCCTCTTCGTGACCCTTCCATTTCTAGTAGATCTACCTTCCACTCCCCGGGTTAGGCATGTTTTTGACTCTGTGCCTTTGCTCTTGACATTCTCCATAACTCAATTGCTTGCTCACCTAAAAAAGAAGTTTTTATTTTTCATTATTAGGTAAGCATTCTTTATACTTACACTAGCTTGCTATTAGGAACGCCAAGATTTTCAAGATTCTAGAATCAACTCATTTCCTGGGAGCTTTACTATTTTAGGAACTCTGCTAAGAACATTCGCCTATATATTTTTTTAAACTTTTAATTTTTTTTTATTTTGAAGATGTGGAGTACAATTCAGGGTTAGTTATACAAACATCGATTATGCAGGTACCCTTGTTGATGAGGTGTGTCCCTCTCTCCCCTAGAAGTTTCTCTCAACTGCCAATTCCACCCCACTCCCCTGGCAGTTTCCCATTACTGCCAATCCCTTTCTTGTTGTATTATGATAATTGATCAAGGTCTGCTTATGAGTGAGATCACATGGTACTCTGCTCTTTGCTTCTGTGATCAATCACTGAGTATGATCGACTCTAAATCTATCCAAGTTGCTACAGAGTCCATATGTTGGCCTTCTTTATGGCTGCATAATATTCCATTGTGTATATGTATCACATTTTTTAATCCAGTTTCATTTCGATGGGCAGAATGGTTTGGGTCCATGTTTTTACTATTGTGAATAGAGCTTCAACAAACATATGTGTGCAGGTATCTTTTTTGTAGAATGATTTGAGTTCCTCTGGGTATATTCCCAATAGGGGAATTGCTGGGTCTTATGGAAGGTCAATTTCTAGTTCTTTCAGAAACTAGAAAGCCACACTGTCTTCCAAAGAGGTTGCACTAGTTTGCATTCCCCACCAGCAGTGTAGATGTGTTCCTTTTTCTCCACATCATCTCCAGCATCTGTTGTTGTTTGTTTTATTAATGATGGCCATTCTTACTGGGGTTAGGTGGTATCTCAATGTGGTTTTGATTTGCATTTATCTGATGATTAGTGAGGCTGAGCACTTTTTCATGTGTCTGTTGGCTGCCTGCATATCTTCTTTTAAGAAGTGTCTATTCATGTCTTTTGACCGCTTTTTAATGGAGTTTTTTTTCCTTTCAGCGCGCTTGAGTTCCATGTAGATCCTAGATGTTAGGCCTTTGTCAAATATACAGTTGGCCTATATTTTTAATTTTAGTCTCTCAACAGCTCATTTAGAGTAGATGTTATCATCTTCAGTTTACAGATGAGGAAACTAAGGCTCAGACAGCTTAATGGGCTTATAGAGACTCATACAGCTACTAAAAGGCAGAGCTGAAAATTAAACACAATTTTCCTTTCTTCTAATACAGTGAACTTTCCACTCTTTCCAGTGCATTACAATTGTTATCTGATTACTATGGCTATTTTCACTGGTTGATTTCTTATTGTTGTTTTTTTATTTGTTCTATTTTACCAGTTTAAGAAATTAGATAGGGTATTTTTTATTTATTTGATGTATTTCAGGGCCAATTAGAGGGCTCTGGAAATAGAAAACATTCAGCAAATGAAAATTGACATTCATTTATTTGTCAAAACACACAGGTCTTTGCCTTTGACACACTTTGCAGTTATTTCTGGAAGAAATTTCAATCCTTCTAATAAGATTCACATTGATAGGCAAGAATGGGAGCAAATATCTGGCATGTTGTATATAAGCAGTGAGTGGGTGGTAATCAAGTCATGGGTCCAAACCAGGTCAGCCAGTCCCTCAGTAACATTCTGCCATCCACTGACACTCTGTACTGTGACCTGGCATCACAGGAATTTGCAGTGTATAAATCATTCCAAGTCCTTTAAGATTCCTCTCTCTGGTGGCACTGGGCAATTATATGTACCCATTTCATAATATAAATTAAGATGTTTGGTAGTCATTGCTATTAATAAAAAAGATTATTTAAAGTCATTGGTATGCCGGGTGCCATACCAAACCCAGTGTGAAAGCCCTTCTGAAGTGACACCCTACGGTTTTCCTGGCTCCACAGGTGTCTGGATCCTTCAAGCTGTTGCTTATACCATGAATGTGGAAAGTTTGACCCGGGACTGGAGTTGGCTTCTTAGTTGTTTTCTCTGGGTGTGGGCATGCATCAGTTGTAAATCAACAGATGAAACAGCTAACTAGTGTTTCTGTACTGTTTCTCTTAACAATCGTTAGTTACTGAAACTTTTTACATGCGAATGATGGGGAAATTGTTACATTACACTCCTCAGTTGAAACATTAGGCAAATAAAGCTCAAAAAGGGTAAGACAAAGTCAGTTCAGAATTGAAATCCAGAACACGAAGCTTCCAGTATTTTCCTCCTCCTTCAAAGCAAGAGAAAGCATATCTGGGCCAAATGAGAGGCACAATCTCCCACTGAAGCAAGAGTGACTTCTGGATGCATCAGACTGAGTCGATGACAGACACCTGGTAAACAGCTGGCTCAACAGAACACCAGAGGGCCGCAATTAAGAGGGTGAACTTGGGGGGGACAGCCAGTTTTGCTATTTCCTAGTTGTGTGACTTTGGAATGTGACTTAACCTCCATGTTTTGTGCTTTGCTCATCCATAAATTGGCGATTAGTATGGCACTTACTTCATAAGGTTGTCATGAGCATTACTTGAGATAATATAAGAAAAGTAACTAGACCAGCATCTGGCACTTAGTAAAACCTATGTAAGTTTAAGGAAAACAACAACAATTAAAAACCCAAAACCCCAAATCAAACACAAAAACCTCCCTTCTCTAGCATGACTCAACCTCCACAGACTGAAAACCTTCCCTCTTATTAAATCTGTGTTTTACTCTTTAAACCAGGGGTCCCAAACCAGACTGGAACCCATATCAGTCTGTAACCTGTTAGGGGCTGAGGCTGCACAGCAGGAGGTGAGCAGTGGGAGAGCCAGACAAGCTTCATCTGTCTTTACAACTGTTCCCCATCACTGGCATTACTGTCTGAGCTCCATCTTCTGTCAGATCAGCAGCAGCATTAGATTCTCATAGACACAGGAACAATATTTGGAACTGCACATGCGAGGGAACTAAGTTGTATGATCCTCATGAGAAACTATTGCCTGATGATCTGAGGTGAAACCAAGGAGGTGATTAGTGGTGAGGTTTGACAGCATCTTCTCCCCCACCCCACTTCCTGTCTCCCCTCCGTGGAATAATTGCCTTCCATGAAACTGGTCCCCGATGCCAAAAATGTTGGAGACCTCAGCTCTAAATGACACCAAATTTTCCGAAAGGTAAATTGGACACATACCTTGATTAAAATATGAGTCATTCCCACTGCAATCCCCATTACCCAATCTCTAGAGGTATCTGGGGGACACAAAAGTTTAACTTTTATCCCAGTGTGAAGAGAAGAAATGAGAGACTGGAGTATATTCTATAGAGAGATTGGCAGCAAGATAAGAACGAGTCTATTTGCAAATGAGAATTTGAGGTGAGCTGATTTATTGAAACTTTTCTCCTTTTCCAGCGACCACCACACAATCAAAACGGAAAGGCCACTTCTCCAGGTGTCCCAGGCAATACAGGCATTACTGCATCAAGGGGAGATGCCGCTTTGTGGTAGCTGAGCAGACACCCTCCTGTGTGTAAGTCGAGCTTTCTGGGCCAGCAAGCAAAAGGGTGCAAGACATGCCCGCCTGGGACCTGACAGGCCTGGAAAGTCTGAGTTTACCATGCCATCTGTCCAAACACAGTTCTGCCTGGTCCTGCCCCCAATCACTTGTTTAGGGGCCTGCTCGGCAGCTATGTATGGAGACACTGATGCACATGTTTCTCCTGAAATATGAGCATGCGAGAGTCCAGATCGACTTCTAGGCGAGGCAGTGCCTTCTGCTTTCTTGTGCAAGCAAAACTGATTCTGTCCAGCATTCAGCATGCTTTACATCTCCAATAATGGTTCGAATGGAAATGAATTATTCTGGCAAGGTGGTTCACAGTTAACGTAAATACAAAGGAATCTTGGCCAAACTAAGAGCTACTTTTGCAGGTGTCACTTAAGTGCAAGGAAGTCAGTCCCATTTATAAGTAGAGATTAGCAAAGCCTGTTTAGTACAGTAGGGAATTGGAGATAACGTTCTCTTTGCAACTTTGTGTAGTTAAGAGTTCAAGTTTAATTCTACTCAGGGACATACAATGTTCTTTGCTTTTCTTTCTTTCTTTTTTTGATATTCATTTTCTTCTAAAGAGATGTCCTGCTGACATGCTGTCTGGGACCTTTCCTCATAAAGGACCAAGGTGATTCTTTACAATTTTGTAAAGAATGCTTTACAATTTTGATCTACAGTTCACAGAATGTTTATGTTCTTTTGCACAGTCCCCCAGCATACATTTTTCCCCCTAGAAGTATCTCAAACAGTGATTCAAATGCCTAATTTTATGGAAATTTTAAGGTCATGAACGTCTTCAAAATTTAATAATAATTGAGTTCAATTAGAAAATATGCATAGATAATATAGAGAAAGGGATAAAAATTACTAATGTAAGAAAATAAGGACATGCATTTGTGTGTATTGGGAAGGACAGAGCTGATTTTCTAAAAAATTCATTGAATTGCTCACTGGCTTGGGAGCACATATTGAACTTTTAAAATACAAATGCCTTTGAACCTGGCACATTTTTCTAATGGATCTCTATGTCTGCAGATTTGTTGTTTTTGATATTACTGCCTTCTAAAATGAAAACTGCAGTGTATAATCTGCTTGCCTAAGATCAACACACAGTTTGTCCCCTTCATTGTGCAGTTTTAACTCATTTTCTTGTCCTTCATAGCTCCTCTTATTCAGGCCTAACTTTTGAGCTATATCTCTTACCCCATTCTTAAATGTTCTTTTAAAATCTTACATTGCTTTTTATGGTTTATTAAATTATGCAACTTCTTCTTATAGCCTGGGATACTTACTCTTACTAATGGCTTAAGATGCTTTTCACACAGTACCCTTCCTGGACCTCTCCAAAGTAGGCTCCACTGAATTCCTCCTCCTGAGATGCACATTCAGGTCTGGGCTAAATGTCCTTCCTCTGTGATCTGGTCACACTCCATGAAAGCCCTGACCCACTGAAGCACAAGTGATGGTTTCTCTAAATGTGTCTTCTATGACTATGGGTTTTTAGGGAGCAGGGCTCATGGCTTATTCTTGTCTGTGTTCCAGTGCCAAGCACAGGGCCTAGAATTCATTAGATGCACAAGAAATGCCTGATGAATGGATGAATAAGTGCCTCTATTATAGTCCACCTAATGCTTTACTGAATTTCAAGGCCTTGCTCTGAACTGGGAAGACCTTCTAGTAGTGGAATGATATACAGTCAATGGCAGGCAGAAGATCACAGAGGTTAGGACACAGACTTTGGAGTCAAATAGACATAAAGCAAGATTTTGTTTTCACCAGTTATAAAGAGTATTAACAGTGGGTCAATAACCTTTCCTTAGCCTCAGTTTTATCATTAAAAAAGGGGAGGGGATAGTAATACCTTTCTCTCAAGTTTTTGAAAATTAGCAAAATAGTAAATACAAAAACACCTATCATGGACCCAGAGTAAGAGGTTCATAATTGCACTATTGAGATGAATGGTGGATATTCAACCTAGAACTGACCTTGCAGGTGGCTTGGTATAGCATGAATTCAGGCAAAACAGTCTTGCCACTGTTGACAATACCATCTTGAGAAGACAGAAATATTTCCTTTTGCTTAGGATCACAGGAGTTTGTGGACCATGTTCTTACATGAAAAATCAAAGTATCTTTCAAATAATTCAAATTCATTATAGTTTTTCCAGTATTTCCTTGGAATAGAGATAATTTATTTCCAGATACATAGTTTTTATTTACATATGCAGGAAAGTTCATTTACATGTAGTTAAGAGTATAAACTTGAGAGCCATAAAGCCTGTGTTTGAATTCTAGCCCCACTTCTTTGTACCTCAGTTTCTTCATCTAGAAAATGGGGTTAATGATAGTACCTACCTCAAGGTTTGTACTAATGATCAATGCAGTACTTATAAATCTCTAAGAGCAGTCTTTGATCTGGTGGTTATTTCAAACAGTGATCTCAAAGCTTGATTTTGTGGTACAAAGGTCACGAACAATTTCAAAAATTATTTCTGATTTTAGATTTTATAAGATGTCTGGCAAATAAAAGTTCATTTATTTACTCACCATTTAATAAATTATGAACATTTGCTCCCTTTGCCACTTCCTCTCCTGTATGAGAGATGCACTCACTGAAAATGACTGTCAGTTGATATGTTATTAGTTGGCTGAAGAATAGCAATAACATAATAGTCGCTATAACGGGCTGTGTTAAGGTTTTACCTAGCATGGCCTCACTGGGTTACAATTTACGGAACTGCTGCCTACTGAGAAATGCAATTAAACGTTGTTAAGTCGCTGAACCCAGAGCTTATCATTAGAAAAATATTCTAAAAAGCAGTAAGTAATTACTAGGCATTTTATAGGCAAAGATATTGTTTAAAAATGCCATATTTAGTAAATGTGTTAGAGAAATATTTAAGCTAATTGAAAGAGACTATATTTGTAAGATTTAATTACAAACTTACAAAACTTTAAAAAAAATCTCCTTATACACGCATGCAATTAAATATCATTCCCACTCTCCCCCATCCCTACCTCCAGCATCAGTACTGTGTGCCATAAATTTTGATATTTCAAGATATCTCCAAGCTCTTTTCCCATTATTTTGACCTTGGAATGAAGATACCTACTTGTCTTGCAGGAAGTAATTTTCTTGAATTCATCTGGGGTCATTCTGCAATATATGGTGTTAGGCGTCTTTTCTCCTCTGCTTGCAACGTGCCTCACCTTTCAATTGATGATTGTTACTGAGCTTGTTGTTTGTTTTTTTTGAAGCACTGTATCAGTTACAATATTGGCATGAAGGGGTCTCCTACCTTGAGAAATATAGGCTTTATGGGAATTAACTGCCTTGGCTCTTGTCAAGCATAAGCTATAGAGCAACCTGGCAGTACATTTTTTCTTAAAGGAAAGTGAGGTTTCACAGAGATCTTTTCAAGATGCAGAATTTAATCTTTTTGACATTTAAAAAATTATGTGTCTGCCCAGTATCTCTTTGCATTTTTGAATTCATCTGAGGAGGAACATTTATTAATGCAAAGGTACCAATGATATAACAGATAATTTTGGTTAACACGTCCTCGGACAAACTTTTAATGTACCTTTTAAACTTCAGACCCACTCAGAGAATTCTGTGGGTAGTCCTCAGATCACTGAGTCCTTAGTTGCTCAGACAAGTTCCAGCTGGGTCAAGTGGATCCAGAACTGTTAACTCAGTGTTAGGGCATCTGCTGAGTTGAGGTGTATCTTAAGACTATATAGATAGAGAGAGAGAGAATGAGAGAAATGATAGCCCTGCTTAGGGGGCTTGTTGTTTTCTGGTCACTCCACTTGAAAAGGGCCATGGAAAAAAAGGAGGCCATTTAGAGGAGAGTGAAGGGAATGGTGACCAGATCTGCAAATGTGTCTTTAAGAAATCAGAAATCAGAAATAAAAAACTGAAGAGGACAAGATCAATTGTGTTTAGGGGGATCTAGTTGGGGAAGTGATGAGTAGAAGAGTAACAGAAGGGTATTACCTAGTCAGTGATGTCCCAAAACAGTAGAGTAGGAAGAATAGGTAGAATTTTCAGAGGGGTGGGGGGCGGGGGGGGAAGGGAGGGAGAGAGAAAGAATGAGATGGGGAAGGGGAAGAGGAGAAGTAGAGGAGAGGGAGAAAAAGAGGGAGAGGGAGTGGGAGAGAGGGAGAGAGAACTTCCTCTGTGTTGGACTCTGGGTTATAAACTTTCATACACTTTACCATGTTTTATATAAAACAATGTAATTTTGTATAATTTATAAGAGAGATTGGAAACACAGAAATTAATCACATTATCCTATGATAATGTAAATCACATTATCCTATGATAAAATGGGAAATCCTGGAAATCTTTAGTTTTATATTATGGAGGTTTTTAAGCACTGGGAATGTTGTGGAAGGAATTCTATTATTACTTCCCTTTCAAACTAAGAGTCTTAGTAAATTGTCATCCTCTTTATATATTTATATTAGACATATTAATAAATAATGACATGTTTTCAGCAAGGCAAAGAAAATGAAATTACTTGTGAACAAAGTGGTGTACAGCTTCTTTTTTTAAAAAATAAAGAAACTCTGTTCTTTATTAATTTCAAGTAATAGAATTGTTAATTTCTTCAAAAAAGAAGTAGAGATTTTTTAAAGTCTTGTGGTTTTTTACTTATTGACCTTTTCTTGTTTTGTTTTTATAGCTGTGATGATGGCTACACTGGGGCCAGGTGTGAGAGAGTTGACTTGTTTTACCTAAGAGGAGATAGAGGGCAGATTTTGGTGATTTGCTTAATAGCAGTTATGGCCATTTTTATCATTTTGGTGGTCGGTGTCTGCACATGTTGTCAGTAAGTATTTTTAATCTTAATTTTAAATAAATCTGAGAAATTGTATCTTGCTCATTGTTTTCTTTCCTTTCTTCTTTTCTTCCTTCCTACTTACTTTCTCTTTCCTTTTTGCTTTGATTCTAAATAAATCTACCTTTTCTCTCTCTTTTTTTTTTGAATTGGAGTCTTACTCTGTCACCCAGACTGGAGTGCAGTGACCGGTCCCAGCCACTGCAGCCTCAACTTGCTGGGCTCCAGCGATCCTTCTGCCTTAGCCTTCAAGCAGCTGGAACTCGAGGCACACGCTACCACACCCGGCTAATTTTTTTGATTTATTGTAGAGGTGAGGTCTTGCCAAGTTGCCCAGGCGGGTCTTGAACCCATGGGCTCAGGCAATTCACTCACCTCAGCCTCCCAAAGCGCGGGATTACAGACTGAGCCACCAAGCCCGGCCATAAATCTATCTTTTCAAAGTTTGTCATCATCGATATTGAGATATGTATTTATATAAAACACATGATACATGATCTTTATCATTTTACTAAACACAATTATTATAATTTAAAACAAAATTTGTATAAATCTTCTAGTTTAAAAAGGTAATCATTTAGTTCTAAAGTCGGTTATATTTTATGTGTATTAGTAGGCTAAATAAGACTTTTATTTTCTAAAAGTATACTATGGCACCATAACATTCAAAGATAGACACAAACAAAAACACTGCCTGGCTATATTAATATAATACATTTTATGTGAAAACCATGATTACTCTGTTTTTTCTGTCTTTTATTTTTCATTATATACTACAACTTTGGAAATTGAGAAATACCTTGCTTTCTCTCTGAGGCAGAGTGCCTTGGTACAATCATAATTAAGTTAGTTTCTTTTGGAAACTTACCATTTTAAAAAAAATCAGAGCAGGACTACCACTTATATGGTAAAAAGATATTTTATTAAAATCCCATCTTCTTGTCTTGAGAGCTCGCCCAGTGTCCTAAACTGTGGCATCTATTTGCGTGCTGTGGTCCTAACCTAAAGAGAATGTCTCATGAGTCCTTCCTTCACAAGGTGCTAGGGAGAAAAACACTAGCCTAGAGGGAGTCTTTGATTTTTGTCTTAGCTCCTCCATTCTATATCTTTGAGACTTTGGGCAAATTTCTTAACCTCTTTGAAATTTAATTTTGTTTTCTGTAAAACAGGAGTATGAAATCAGATAATCTGTAGGATTTCTTCTAACAATAAAACTTAAAGTTATAGCTGGGCTTGGTGGCTCAGCCTGTAATCTCGCGCTTTGGGAGGCTGAGGTGAGTGGATTGCCTGAGCCCGCGGGTTCGAGACCCGCCCAGGCAACTTGGGGAGACCTCACCTCTACAATAAACCAAAAAAAAAAAAAAAAAAAAATTAACTGGGCTTGGTAGCGCCTGTAGTTCCACCTACTTGGAAGGCTGAGGCGGAAGGACCGCCGGAGTCCAGCAGTTCGAGGCTGCGGTGGCTGGGAGTGTGCCACAGTACTCCAGTCTGGGCGACAGAGTGAGACTCCAACTCAAAAAAACCCACCAAAACTTAATGTTATTATTATTTTACCTCCTTTTAATAGGAAGGAATATTTATAATGCCAGGTTTGAGGCAGAGAATCAGTTGGACAAAGCTGGGAACGGTTCTACTTTCTCACTTTAACTTTGTACTGCACTTTAAGAAGGCTGGATTGCAGTCCAGAGTATCTAACACATTTTAAATTTAATGTATTTAGAAGCTTAGTTAATATATCAAGAGGATGCCCTCCTCTTGATTTTTTTATCCCAATAGTCAATTTGTACTATTTCTTGTTTACACACTAAATAGTAGTCATCAGTCTTTTTGTAAAACAACTTGGCCTGAAAAATTTTCTTGAACTAACTAAGCTCCATCAATGATCAAATGCCATATTCTTTTTGTTTAGATAACTGTATTATTTCCACACTGTTGTCTATTGTGTATAGATATCATTTGAGCATAGGGAAAGATGACTGAAGAGAACATTCATAATATTTAAGAAAAAAGAAACATGCATTTATACATTTTATAATATTAGAAATAAGATTATAGGCTCTCTTGGCAAATAATTTTGTGTTTTCATGAACTATCAGGCTTATACTAATTTCTAACATATTATTTTCTAAGTCCTCTTAGGAAACATCGTAAAAGAAGGAAGAAGGAAGAAGAAACAGAAACTCTGGGCAAAGATACAACTCCTATTAATGAAGATATTCAAGAGACTAATATTGCTTAATGGTAAGTTGGATATACTTGGCAGATGAAGAACTATTCAGGGACATTTAACTGGTGAGATTAATTTTATTTAATAACTAAATGGACTATGATTATGTTAAAAAATATCTAACATTGATTTTTTTCATAGAGTCTGAAGTCAAACAAGACTTTCTTATATCTTTCTTCTGCATGTTACCACAGAAATAGGCGTTCTCATTCTGCATGGTTATGCTGGTTATTTTATATTTTTTTCTTCCTCATTTTTGGGCACAAAGAAGAGGTATTTTAATTTAGTTATCTCACATTGAAAGGTTATACCTATAGAAATGGTTTAACAATAACCACATTGATCGAGCATTTACCATACACTAAACAGTTATAAGCAGTTATGTTGTGTCGGTGAGGATCCCAGCAAGAATCACATGATGATCCAATAATGTGATTTTGAGGAAGAGACTGTGAAGGCAGGGTTACAGAAGTCCCCACTGAACGTCAAGGCTCCCCGAGTCAGGCAGTGGTAGGGCCTGTCCGGTTACTCTTCTGTGCCTGAAGGGACCAGGAGTAGGTGTTACCTTAGCACTAGGAAAATTGCACGAGACCTCAGGCAGAAGCTATAGGTGTGGAGGAAATAGCTATTGTTAGAGCCTACACGATGACAGAAGAAGGTAAGAGGGAAAACATAGCCCAGACTTTCTCCCCTTGTCTTCGTTCTTCATAGGCACCTCCGACCAGCTAAACGTGACCAGAAACCAAAGGGCAAGGAAGCCCCCGTGGTGGAATCAGAAGCGGTCAGCTTCCCGGAGACAGAGCAGGGCAGAGAAGGGGGCTCGCGGGGCATAACGGGCACAACCTACCGGGTAGTTGTGGTTGTAATAACATCAAAGCCAACGGAAACTGGCTGAAAACCAGGGCAATGCATTGGCTCACATGAATGGCAGTGCAGAGGAAAGATGGGCTTTGCACTGCGTTGAACCAGAGGCTCACGCTTAAGAAAACAGATTATTTCTGTTCACTGTTCAGAGTTGGTTTGTTTCAGATCATAAGAGAGGCCAGGAGCAATCAGGGCTACAAGTCTCCTTGTTCACATCCAGCAAGAGAGAGCAATAACTTTCCATAGCTCTCTCGGTGAGAGACTATTCCCAGAAAAATCCCATGAGCTTAATGGGATACTGTATTCTAAATTCTTGTTGATAAATGGTCATGTTATTCTATCTTATTATGAGAATACTAATTAATTTTTTAAAATGCTGGCTCTGTATTTTCAAATTATTATTATTATTGCATACTATATTAAAAAAATAATCTGCTATTGTTTTCTTCCTTCCCACAGGCTTTGAAGGTACCTCCATGCTGGTGGCAAATTGCAAAATGCTTTGCTCATTTGAAAATGGACATAACATGTCTCAGGAAAACAGCTAGTAGAAATTAATTTTAAATAATGTATCCACTTTTTATTTGTAACTTTAGTTTGTGTTTTTATTGTTGTTTTTTAATAATAATAATATTATTAATTTTATTATTGCCTAGTAATTGGAGAAAAGTACCCAGTTAGGTAGCGACAATAAGAAGGGAAATTTTAATGTACTTCTACCTGCCTTGTCACAAGAATTACTAGTCCAACAACAAAAAAAATAGATAAAGAAGTTTAGATGTTAAGAATTGAGTTAATAATAAGACTACCATTTATCCAATGTTTAACCATGTGCTAAGAGTTTGAAATATGCTATTTAGCCGGGCTTGGTGGCTCAGCCTGTAATCCCGCGCCTTTGGGAGGCTGAGGTGAGTGGATTGCCTGAGCCCGCGGGTTCGAGACCCGCCTGGGCAACGAGACCTCATCTCTACAATAAATCAAAAAATCAGCCGGGCGTGGAAGCGCATGCCTGTAATTCCGGCTTCTCGGAAGGCTGAGGCGGAGGGATCGCCGGAGCCCAGCGGGCGAGGCTGCGGTGGCCGGGAGCAGCCACTGCACTCCAGTCTGGGCGACAGAGTGAGACTCCAACTCAAAAAAAAAAAAAAAAAAGAAAGAAATATGCTATTTCATTTAATCCTTTCAGCCCATGAGATGCATGTTATGATCCTCATTCACCAGATATGGAAACAGGGTCGAAGAAATCAAATAATCTAATTCAGATTTAGAGAATTAGGAATTGGTAGAGCTGGAATTGGAATGAAGATTTACCTAAATCAAAATCTCTGCTCTTGACCATCATTTTGGTTAATCTGAGGTGGTACAACTTAACTCTACACTATAACCCAAGATTTTATACTGGACTGTGTTTTGTTATTCTTTGGAGATGTCAAAGCTTTTTTCCTGCAGTAACACAGAATGTAGTGTCTTGGCCTATGTTGCTGTACCATCATGCTTTCTGTAGGGTTGACTTTTATTATGTTTCTTTTCTCCTTTATAAATTCTCAGTGACATGAATAAATTCCTACATGATATAAAGCAAACGGATTGGCCCTGTAGCTAGGGAAATAAATAGAGATGGAAAAGTCCATGCTTAACATTCTTTAAGCCCTGGGTAAGTGTTTATGTTCAATAAAGTATAAATAATATCACTGGAAGAGACTGCTTATGTCAGGGTAATGGCCAGTGACAGCACCGGAGAGCCCAGGCAGAGACTGGTTGTGACCACATTCTAATTTTTGTTCTTCTCAACAGCAGTATATATGATTGCTCTTAGGTGAATTTTGGTGCTCTGTGGCATCTATTACGTGAGACCATCTTGCCAAATCCTCTTCATTCCAAGGTATATTTAATAAAGACTGCTTTAATCCTGGAAAAGTGAAAACTACATTTAACCAGTGTTCCACAAAATATGAAACTTTCTACACTGATTAGGTGGGTCACTTACAAAAGTTGATGGAAGATGTCCCCAAATTGCTGCATTTTGTGCCTGTCAGTCAAGCAGTTTTCTTTCCAAAATCTTCATAAACTTCACTTTGCAATGTTGACTGCATAACCAAAGTGAAGTGGAGAATTCAGACATCCATTGTGTTTCAAAAGCTGAGACTGTGCATATATACAATAAAGAGCTCACCTGTCAGTAAGAGCTAAACCAAACTACTGATCATTTTCCAAATCATATTTTCCTTCTGATTTAATGGTTATCTTTGAAATAGGATTATATCTAACGGATTCATGTTGTATGTGCCTTATCTTCAGAAGTCTCTTTTGGGCTCATTCATGCCCTTTCTCTTCCTCAGTCTTCTTTGATACTAAAAAAGCTTGTAACAAACGTCTGTTAGAGCCTTTGAAAGCACAAAACAATGCTCTATATGTTTATTCTTTCCTGGACTGGGATTGGCTGACTAACAAAATCTCTCAAGTCAATTCAGGCTCAGGAATTTTGTTTTGGTTCTAAAATGTTAGTGGTGGCTCTTGAAATTTGGTAGGACTGGTACCAAGAAAGAATTTCAAGAATTTTCATTTCTTTTCAAAAGGCATTTTATAATTGTTTTTTGCAAATACTAAATGGCTTTGTTTATGTAAACTGTCAATATTATCATATAATAAAATAAATTTATTTTTAAAACAAAGCAAATATATTTTTACTTGGGAATTTTCTATAGGTACCGTGAATTAATAATATAAATAAAATTGGACACTTTGCTTTTAAAGACTTTATACTTTATAGAAGTTATCCATTAATGAATTGAAATAGTCCATCCTGCTCATGTATTTTCTTTAGAAATGAAAGTATTTGAAAGTGTGGTAGACATCTACGGAACCATCTGCTCTATACTCTGGCCATGTTTTTGAACTCCAACTCCAATTGTATTTGGTTGGTCTAAGGTCAGCACTTAAGCAAGTTGAGCCAATTTGAGTCATTCCTAGGGGAATTGGGAACCTGAACTGAAGTCAATCTTCTTTGGGCTCGTAGGGTATCAAATATGCATTTTGAAGCTATTGGCAGTTTATATTATTTATCATTATATAAATAAGACTTATATTCATGTTGCTTCATGTTGCCCAGAAAAACGAAGAACCTGGTCAACAGAGAGAAAAAGAAGCTTTGAGCAAACACTAAGTAACAAACAGATGAGACATAAATTTCCTGGCAATATTAGGAGTCCTGGTTACATGCATTCTCAAAGTATAACCTCATTCCTGTGTATAGGCTGTCTATATCTATATAATACATTTCTCATTTGACTTAAGCTAGTTCAATTTGGGTTTCATAACCTGGAACCAAGATGCTGACCAACTCAAGGTGCATTCTGAGATTGTGGACAATGGTTTCTTAATGCAGAAATGATGTCCTACGGAAAAAGAGATATCAAACTATTGTTTTCAAATAGTGTTTTTCATTCCATTAAATGAACATTTCTAGCAACGGCATTTTATTTTCACCATGAAGCTAGAGAGGGAACTGGGAGTTCAGAAAACATTAATTGGGCACCACTGTATTTCAGATCCACTGTGACAAATGCTAAGGAGAAATGACATGGACCTTTAAGATGCTTACAGTTTAATGGGAGAAACAACTACTCACTGATCATTTTAATGCAATATGGTGCTCTGAAAGAAGCTCAAGATATTATGGGAGCAGAGAGGAGTATAACTTAGTCCAGCTTAGGAAGAATCAAGGAAGATTCATGGAGGAAATTACATCTGATGTTTGGCTCTGAGAAATAATGGTCTGTGCTCCAAATCCTCAGTAAGCTCAAATATTTCTTGAGTCCTTGTCAAATTCTGCAGAATTCTTCTGGAAGCTCTAAGAGTGGAGGGGCCCTTGAGTGATGCTACAAGGAAACAAGTGAGGAGAAGGGATCAAGACCTCCATGCCTTGTACCAGGCTGCTCTGGGCAAGGCAGGGTAGAGGATGTGGGCATATGAGCTGTGAGGAAAGACATTCCTGGAGATGTGTTATTACATAATGGCCTGAGTTGAGGTGGGTTGTTGTTTAGGCCGTTCACATTTTTCAGTCTTTCCCACAGCCCATGGTGTGGACAAGCTTCATACAGAGAGGAATGAAAGGTCCTGGGTCAAATAATCTGCTGTTTAGATACAACCTG